AGTCCCATATGAGGTGAAAGTGCCCGTCGACAAGCCATACGAAGTGAAAGTCCATGTACCAGAGCCCTATGAGGTCATCAAGAAGATCCCATACGAGGTGAAGGTGCCGGTGCCACAGCCCTACGAAGTCATCAAGAAGGTGCCACATGAGGTGAAAGTGGAAGTGCCAGTGCCCAAGCCCTATGAAGTCATCAGGAAGGTGCCGTACGAGGTTAAATATGAGGTCGAGAAGCCTTACAACGTCGAGGTTGAGAAACCCTACGACGTTGAGGTCGAGAAACCGTACACTGTCGTCGTCGAAAAGAAGGTGCCCTACGAAGTTAAAGTACCTGTTGACAAGCCCTACAAGGTTGAGGTAAGTTCAGAGAGTACTTGAACTCCTTATCGAGTAAGAGAATATTAACCATTGGCTTTTGTGTTTCTCGAACAGGTTGAGAAACCGTATCCAGTGCATGTCAAGGTGCCAGTTCCACAGCCCTACACCGTCGAGAAGAAGGTGCCGTACACCGTAGAGAAGCCCGTACCGTATGAGGTTAAGGTGCCAATTGAGAAGCCAATTCCCGTCTATACGGAGGTTAAGGTGCCCATTCACAAGGAAATTCCCGTAGCCCAGAAATATCACGTCGAGGTGCCAATCTTCAAGCACCACGAGCATCACCATGAGGAACACCACGACTACCACCAGAGCCACCACGGTCACTACTAAGGATTAGGAGGCGTCAGTGTGGCCCAGTTTGGCCAGCACAGAACGCGAGCACAAGGAGTATACGAACATCAAAAACAACAAGAACAACAACAATAACAACGAGAAGAAGAATATATGTGAGAGAGCACAAGGACATGGGCGGAGAGTCTTTGTCGCATCCACGCAGCAACGTTGAGCTGGACGTTGAACGGGTGATAAACACAAGGAGGAGAGGAGTCAGAGCAGAAGGAGGAGAGGTTGGAGAAGACGAACAGGCAGCAGTGAGAGGACAAACTAACTGGCTGCTTGGCAACGAGATCTGGCGAATTCCGCAAAAAAAAACTCCACTTTTGCGGAACTCGCATAAGTTTTAAGCCAAATGTGTTATACTTTTACTTGTATCATTGTGTTAGCTGTACGAGTATGAGTTTTTTATTTAAATTATAAGCTAAAGAAACACTGAAAACAAAGCGAAAACCATTAATTGGGCGGAACGGAACGGAGTGGGGTGACGGGAGGGGAGGAGAGGGGAGGGGAGGGGGGCGGATTGCCATTTCAGTGAAAGTGAAAAGCAGTTGCTCGGCGACCCACAGATCATGGTACCATGAACGTGCTGTCGACCAAATTGAAATGAAAATGAAAACTGAAGAAAACCAGTTAAGAGTTGTTGTTGTTGTTGTTGTTGTATCTGCAATTTCGCTGTGTATTCTTGGCCAGTTGGTTATGCAAGCGAGTCGGACGGAGGCGCGATTTGCGATTGCATCACAAAACTAATTGCAGGAAGCAGCCAACACACTCACTGAACGTTCAAATTTACAAAACATTTTACTGGCCAAACGGGCAATCGCTCGTTTGGCGGCAATCGCAAATTTTCGCAATTATTTCTTTAACTGCCTCGTCATAAAGTGTTTGAAAATTTCCGAACCGACCAGTCTTTATGCTTGTTGATTTTCAGTTGCAAGTGTTGGCAACAATTTTTATTGGCAATCGAAGCGCAACCAACTGGAGACGAGGCACAGAGCCACCTGCTGAAACCCACACAAGCCGCAGAGCTCAAGATACGCGAGACGCGGCCTCGTTTTGGCCAAATGGTAACAGTAAAGATATATCGTGATCATTATTGTATTTCGAAATGCTGCGACGTGAGTGCGAGCAATCGAAATTGCAATTAAAATACATTTGTAATGTGTTGTATGGCGGCATTGTTGAAAAAGCGGACGGCAACAATTTGAACTGCGCGCCAAATAGGTAAACACCCTGTGACATGCAGAGTCGTTCCACATATAACAGGGTGTACTGTGTTGTGGATGGTGTGGAACTTGCGGTCCCTTGTCCAGTCACGAGTCAGCTGTTTTTTGTAGATGTAGAAGAAGCAGAGCGGCATTCACATTTCTCAATAAAAACAACTAAACAATATTTAATTTAAATTGTGCTCAAAACATGGCCGATGATGCGGAAAACTCAGTGGACAACAGGCCAGCAGACGACAATAAGCCAGAGAAAATGTTCACGCTGAAGAAATGGAACGCCGTAGCCATGTGGAGCTGGGATGTGGAGTGCGATATATGCGCCATTTGCCGCGTCCAAGTCATGGGTGAGTCGCTGGTCAAGATCGTTTGATCGTTTCTACACATACATACATATATTTATAAATATCTGCTGTACTGGCTGCATTTATACTAAACAAAAATCAATATATGTGCCGCAGCAACAAGAACAAAAGAGACAGCGACAATAAACAATGCAACTGGATTTGGTTCCCTCCAATTTGCACTGAGAATGAAATCAAGCGGGGCTTTTAACAACAAATGAATATATTAAAGATAATGCAATTGATCAGGAGCTTATATTCAGAACATACTCTCACACTCAACTTGAAGCTTTGTTCTATAGAAAAGAACAGTTAGCTACATATGTATATGCACCCCTTCTATTTTTGTTACCCATACAAAAGACCCCAAAAATTGGTTGATATCTAGATATCTACATATATATGTAATATATATAAATACCAGACTATTCTATGGATGTAGCATTGCTTTAGTCGAAAATCATAATATTGTAGGTCCTTAAGTTAGGTTTATATATATTTATATGTATCTATAATAATCACATTATCCATTTCCACTTGTTCGTCTGCTGGCTGTAGTTTCTTACATTCAGGATAACATGATTTTGATATTAGAATATGACTATTTTGTTATTTATTGTCAAATGTAAGCTGTTATTTTAAAGTTGTAGAAGATTTAATATCCTTACAGACATCAATTAGATTAGTTTTATAGTATTTGTCTAGTGAGAAAAACTACTCAGTTTAAACTTAATCAGTTTAATGCGGCAATCTTCTATAAGAACCATATGCTTTTATAGTCCGGGGCTTAGAGTCCCTAATAACTGAGATTTGTGTAAATAATTTGGAAAATAATGTTACGGATAATGACAAAACTGACCGATGCATAGTTTTTTCAATAAATCTATATGAATTGTTTGTACGGATATCGGAAGATAAACATGTCCATATCGATGTACAAAATTTGATATCTCACAATTTCACTTGATGTTTATGTAAACATATTCGGTTTTTCTTATTGAAAATTTGCTATTATTGTATTATACACTTTCAAAACAGTTGCATTAGTAAAACATTAGAAAAAGGCAACGCGAGCCGCATAAACAATATTAGATCGTGGTCGGAACGATTGTTGATATATTATTCAATTAGTAGAGATATATTTTAATAGAGTATATTTTTATCATATCTAAAAATTCCTCCCAGTACTCCATGGGCAGACACTAATCCAGCAGCTAGACAAAATATATATTTATATATTTTATAGATATATACCATATGTTATATATTTTATATACATAGATTCCAATATGAAAAAGCATTTAATTTATTTACCGATTCACTCAGCTGATTGCAAATGGGAGTTCAAAGTTGTGAACATTGTCTAGACATCCTATTTCTATAACCTTACGGAGGGTGTTTTAATTCTGTCATAAAATATGTAACGCATAGAATATAGGATATAGAATAGGATACATCTGCGACCCCAAACAATAAATATCTATATCTAAAGTCCATCTGTCTTTTCTATGCAAACTCATTTCCTTGCTCTGTCGCGAAATTTTGCATGTATATATATGGGAGCTGGTTGAATCGTAAAAGTAATAAAGTTTTTTTATGAAAAACTTATATAGTTTTTTGTAAAATATCTAAGCCAAACTCGGTATTTACAAAGTTAACCATGCTCTTTACACATTAGCATAGTTTTATCAATGCCGAATTACTATATAAGGGTATTTAAGCTTCTGCGTGACGAAAATTCATAATTATAATATTCAGATCCGATTCGCACGAGTCTTTTTATTTAAATGTTTATTGTCTTGGACTCTGACATTCGTTTATATATATTTTCTCTAGTCGAATGTTTGAACAAGAAAACACATTTTACACATTTTGTGGCAAATTGAAAATGTTTGATTTTGGGTAGAGCAGATTTGAATCTTTCATTTATTTGATTATATTATGAGTCTGAGCGAGGCATAAATATATTTGGAATACTGCCCGCAGGGTTATTTCAAAGCATTCCCTTATGCAATTTAGTTTTGATAAGAAGCGATTATATTTTGTTAAAAATAAGTTGCCTTTATTTGCGATTATTTAAATATTTAGCGAGCGCATTATCAGTGCATTATCATCCAATAAATGCAACGCCATTTTTGGAATTTCTTTGCTTTGATTTTGTTCGCGTAACTCAAGCGATAAGCCCGCCAGTTTTGAACTATCTCTCTGCCTCTGTACGTATTCACACACATGAATACGTCGAATACGTCGAATATTCTGTTAATATGAAAAATCAATTGTAATCGTAGCTGATTACGTTACACTATTTTCGCATGCACCGCATGTGCAGCTGCCATATAAGCCCATATGCACTCTAGAATAGTTTTGGGCGAATATATCAAATATTACATATAATGCTCACGTATTTGCAACGACATTGTGGAACTGTAAAATGCATGGCGAAGGTCGCATGCAAATTTCAACTGTTGTTAACCCAGGGGCGCCCCTTCTCCAATTTGGAGAGGGTTCGGTTGAAAGAAAATGTGTGTATTTTTTTCATTTGTTGTATATATGTATATATTCATAGAATTATTTTACAATAATAATTTACATAGACGCAGTTGCTGCGAGAGTTATTTATACTAAAAAAAGATTCATATATATTCTTAACAAGCTGTCTATATTCGAATAGCCAATTGGATTGAACTCCTTTGAGGTGGGGCGGGGGGGGGGAGGGGAGCGGGCTTCTGGATAGTTTTGCATTATATTTAGTTAATAATAATGTATGTCATTTTTCTACAGAGATTACTTCATCATCATCTAGGCAACAAAATTAGTGCTAAACTCATAATTTACACGAATCATAAAACTACGCGACTTAGCGATATAAATAATAATAATCATAATAATAACAATAATTATGTAGAAAGTAAAGGAAAATCTTTTGCTAAAAACAAAGGCACGCTCTCTCATAACACATCTGATACAGTGATAGCTACAATAATCGTTATCGATGCGGGTATCGATACATGTATCGATCTCGTTATCGTTATCGATATCGATTTCTTGATAGTTGTACAACTTAAGCACTAAGGCACTAGACTAATATTTGGTTTGATCGCTTCAAGATCCATTTTTTGGGGCCACCATTCACAGAATTACATGTTGAAGGACAAGGGCTTAATGTTCGCCACGGAGGACATGCGTCGGACGCGTCCCATCATCTTGCGCTCGATGTCCTCCAGCGTCTTGCCCTGCGTCTCGGGCACATAGAATATCACAAAGAACAGGCCGATAAAGCAAATGGCGCCGAACATCCAAAAGGCACCATGTGCGCCCATGAAATCTGAATGGGAACATAATTCAAAGGATTAAGCATTTGTTTGCGGAAATTGAGCGTGCGTGTGGCTCACCTATCATGTCCTGGAACGACTTGGTCACCACGAACGTGCAGGACCAGTTGAAGGCGGTGGCCACCGAGGCAGCAGAGCCGCGTATCTTGGCGGGCAGAATCTCGCCCATCATCAGCCAGGGAATGGGTCCAAAGCCCAGCGAGAAGCCCAGAATGTAGATGACAAAGCAGCTCAGCGGCAACCAGCCCACATTGGAGGTATCCATGCCGCTGGACTTGCAATAGAAGAAGCCGCCCAGCACGAACAGCGTCAAGACCATCATCACGTTGGACACATACAGCAGAACCTAGAATGGAATAGTCTCTTGTAGAGCAGATAAATGGGAAGGGATATCATTCGGCGAACTCACCTTGCGTCCGGCCCGATCGATGAGAAGCGTGGCGATGAACGTTGCTATAAAGTTGACCACGCCCACAATGATCGTGCAGAGATTGCCGTCAATGGTGGAGCCGGCGTCGTGGAAGATTTGCACCGTATAGAAGATGACGGCATTGATGCCGCTCAACTGCTGGAAGAACATCAGACCCAGGGATATGGACAGCGGCTTCAGATTGCTGCGCTTCAGCAGCTCGAGCATTTTGTTTTGAGTCGCCTGTCGGTCGGAATCCGCCTGCGAGCGCATCAGGCCCTTCAGCTCTGGCTCGACGTCGGCCTCCTTGCCGCGCAGCCAGACGAGGGCCTTGCGTGCGCGCTCCTCGCGTCCACGGCTGACGTACCAGCGCGGCGTCTCCGGTATGAGGAACATCAGTATAAGGAACGGCACGGGCAGCGATGCACCGAGGAAGGCCAGCATCGACCAGTCCATGTACGTGCCGGCCACAAAGCAGAGAAGTATGCCAATGTTACCAAATGCCGTCGGCAGCAGACCGAGCGTGCCGCGCACCTCCGGCTGCACCGTCTCGCCCAGGTAGACGGGCAGCGACAGCGACGCGATGCCCACACAGAAGCCGGCCAAGAAGCGGCCGCAGAGCACCATGACCACGTTGACGGCACAGGCAATCAGCAGCCATGAGACAATAAATGGCACAGCCGTCGCCAGGATCGTGTTGCGCCTGCCCAGATACTCGATGAACGGACCGCCGGCTATGCCGCCAACCAGACCAGCCAGTGGCATGATGCCACCTACCCAGGATGCCTGCAAAATGGGAATAGGATTGATTTTAATTGGTAGCCTAATCAGTTTTGAGACAACTAAAGGTTTTTTGAGTCTAGGGAGCTAGCGAGAATTGACTTGGATTCAATTTGTGGAAGGAATCCCAATTCCTTGGATTCAATTTGTGGAAGGAATTCCATTTCCTTGGATTCAATTTCCAAGGAATTCCGTGAATTTGAGAACTACAATTTGAGACAACTAAAGAATTTTCGAGTCAAGGCATCTAGCGAGAATTGACTTGGATTCAATTTGTGGAAGAAATGCCAATTCCTTCATTTTGTGGAAGGAATTCCAATTCCTTGGATTCAATTCCCAAGGAAGTCCGTGAATTTGAGGAATACAATTCGACTGCATTAATGTAATTGGAACAATTGGAAAAAATGCCTAGAAAAATATTGAATTCGCTTTGTAAAAGGAATTTCAAGGTATGTTCGGAATGCATTTAATCCGAAAATAGGTGTATTCTTCCAATTCCAAGTCAATTAAAAGCTTTTCGCTTGACTAAGACTCTGATTGTCCTCTCGTATTCTGTTCTCATTGATTTTAGCTTAAATTGGGGGGTTAACTTACCGCTTGGGGCGTGACCACAAAGGACGTCTGATTCGTGTCGGTCATGGAGACCAGGGCGGGCGAGGTGTAGGCGCTGGCGAAGCCCACGACCAGGGAGCCCAACGAAACGCTGAGCGCAGCGAGCACCTGCAATTAGTTAGAATCGGATAGATGATGTATTAGCAACTGGTTGATTTGATTAGATGGAGTTAGTTCGTGGCGGGTTCTCTTAATCTACCTGAGAGTAGGTGCACTTTGCCTTGGGCTCGTCTATCGGCACCGAGAAGGACACATGGGTGTCCGCGCGCATAAGGATCTTCATAATGGGATTGGATCAAGCTCTACAGCTATATATGGAACTTGTTGTGCTTTTGCTTTAGACTCGAGTCTGGGGCTGTGGCTGTGGCTGTGGCTGTGGCTGTGGCAACCTTGCCTCGCACTGCCGCCTTTCACTTTGAGTTGAAGCCTTGCGATCTGGACTTGGACTTAGACGCTAGTAACGCATTTGTTGCGCTTTGCCGGACGAAACTAAACTGAAACTGAAACCTGTCATTTGGCGACTCGAATGCGGCTAGGCCGTTAGATTTTGAGTGCGATTTGCGCGGTCACGTACGTACATCAGTTTGCACAGAATTATAACGCATGCAGCTCGATTGGAGCTATGTATTGATATGTATACGTATATATATATATATATATTAGCTGATGGATCGCTTATCAATAGGCATTTAATCAGGGCCTCCCCGCCCAACTCAAGATCAGCTCAGCTCAGCTTGGCACAGCTGTTGACATAAGCTTATCACGCTGTTTACGTGTGCCTCCAGATTCCAGTTTCAAGATTAGGTTCAAGACGCAACTTGGCCGGAGTCGACACCAGACAACCGACAATGGACAACCGACAACCGAAAGGCGGTTTACGGCGGTTCCTTGGCACCGAACGTCGAAGCGCTGCTGCTAATATGCAAAGTGCAACTAAGCTGGCCGCACATTTGGCCATCAGCACCAACAGCAGCTGCAGCCGGTCGGTCGGTCGGCAGGTCGGTCGGTCGGCCGGGTTAGGTCAACCAGGGGCAGCTGACGGGCTGACGGGTCCGTTCATCCATCCATCGTGTGTGCTTGTATTTTTAGTCTCGCATAACTTAACTAACTGCGTTATTTCAGTTTCAATTTCAATTAAAGACAGGGGCAGGCGGGGGGCGGCCAATCTGGGCGTGCGAAAATAGCCCGCCACGCGCTTTCCAATGGCGACCCACAAACTACGCTCTAAATTGCGCAAAGAATGAATGCGAGCCTGACTGCTTTATGGCAATATTAATGCCATTCATAAGGCCATTCCCCACACTCACACGCACACTCACACGACACTCACACTCATACACTCGCACTCACATTCGTTCGTCTACTCGAGTACTCATCACACACTCGAGTACTCATTTATAGGCGCCAGTTTAGCAGTCTCAGCGCTTAACGAGCCAACAATGGGACGGCTAAGCATCAGCTACAGCGTCTACGACAATGTTTATGCCTTGTTGTTAATCGCAGCTAATCATAATATTTTCATATTTATTGTCCATACGAGACAAGGTATCACGAATTCGAGCATCAATTTCTGCTTACAATCGAATATTCTTTTTTCTCCTGGCCTAAAAAGTCTATCCAAAGCATTGAAAGTCTTCTCTATCGAAACTCTGCGAGAAGTTCAAAGTCTTCTCCGAGTCGCGATTCTATCTCTCTCAACTCCATCATACTCTCTTCTCGGAGCTTGGATTCTCCGGGAAGACCTACCAGACCCTGGAGAGAAATTATATTCTAGGACTCTCTAAATAACCTCCTTAGTCTCTTTGATTAAGCTCTTCGGCTATGCTTGGGTTATCGCGAATTCGAGCATCATTTTCTGCTTCCAATCGAATCTTATATTTCCCCATGGACTTTTTAGTCTAGCCATAGAATTGAAAGTCTGAGAGATTCTCCAGAAAGACCTACCAGACCCTGGAGAGAAATTATATTCTAGGACTCCAAGCACTCTAAATAGCCCCGTTTGTCTTTTTGATTAAGCTCTTCTGCTATGCTTGGATTATTACGAATTCAGGGAAAACGCATATTGCGATTGTTCTCGTATAAACGTCGTAATTAAGAGACTGTCGCCGCAAACCCATTATAAATCTCAATAAGAAATCGCGATCACATGAGTGCTGTCGTCATTCGTTTGACCTACCTGTGTCCATATATAGATGGGATTCGTTGTGGGCCTGTAGACCTCCAGCTTGGGCTTGCCATCCTCGGTTATCTGGCGTACAAAGGGCACCGCGTGGCGGATGTTGTCGCCCCGCTTGTTGCCCATCTCGTCCATTTCGTACAGTCGACGGCTGCGAATAAAAATAGAAACTGCGTATCAGAGTTTGTTCAACAATCAAATGAATCAAATGGAACAGTTGCGTCATCATCTAGATTGGGGCTTGGGGATCGGGGAATCGGGAATCGGGGTTTGGGAATCGGGGAATTGGGAATCACTCACCTCTTGCGTGAATCTGTGCTAATCGAGCGCTGCTGTTGGAAGCTCTGGCGCGAGGTGAGAAAGTCCTCGTCGCTTTCGCTTTCCAGATCCTTGAGGTCAATAATGACTGGCTTGGTGATGTCCTTGGGCCGATGGATGAGCCGTTTGTGCTCGGCGTCGTCGCCCTCCTCGTCGCTGTCGGTGCTGGAGCCCTGTAATACTTTGTCTAGCTTGAAGGTGACCCGCGGATCGAGACTCTGATGCTTGCGGCCCTGGAATTCGCGCCGTGTCTTGTGAAACTCCTCCTCCGACGAGGAATCCTTGAGCAGATCCTTCAGAAAGCGCGTGCCCTTAATATCGAGCGAGACGTGCTTCTTGGCCTGAAACTGGCGCCGATTATCATTGGCCAATATATGCTTCAAGTCCTTGAGGATGCCCTTGTGATCGACCGATGTCGCCTTCTGCTGCTGGAAACCGATGCGCTTATCCTCAAAGCTATCCTCGTCGCTGCTCTCCGCCGCCTTGGCGGCAACCTGCTCCCCGCGCGGCTTCTCGAACGACACCCGCGAACCCTTCAGCGACTGCTTGCTGCGCTGCAGCTCCTCACCGCCCGTCACAATGCTGCGCTGCTGGCGATCCCGATGCGGCTCCAGCGAGGTCGGCGGCGGCGGCAACGGCGTCAACTCCAAGCTGCCACTGGCCCGCAAGGCTGTCCTCTGCGGCTGCAGCTGCTGCTGCTGCTGTTGCACGTGTATCTGTTGCGGCGGCTCGTTGATGTCCACGTCCTCTAGGAGCGGGCGAAAGGAGAGCGGCGGCTCGTCGTCGACGTCGTGCAGCAGGCGCAGCTGCTGCTGTGGCTGTTGCAGATGCAGCTGCTGCTGCAACTGTTGCTGTGGCTGTTGCAGATGCAGTTGCTGTTGCAGTTGTTGTTGTTGTTGTTGTTGTTGTCTCTGTTGCTGTGGACTCTGGAGATGTGGAAACTGCTGCTGCTGCTGTGGATGGCGCTGCGGCGCCGCCTGGGGAAACGGAAAGGGATCCTCCGGTAGTATTGTGTCCAGGCTGGTGCCTGTATTTGATGTGGACAGATTGCTCTCCACGCGATGGTAGCCCAGCTCCTCCTGCCAAAAGTAGCGTTTAAGGTTAGTCCGATTGCCAACAACAACGTGTTTCGTATTGAAATTGAAATTGAAATTGAAATTCTTAAGCTTCCATGCGGCGCAGACAATTGCGAATTAGTGAATCGTGCCACGACTTTTGATTATATAGCTACTCGCCTCAATGCCTCAATGCGGTGATTACCACTCTCGGCTGCTCTTGAAATCAAAGCCAAAGGTTGCCTCCGGATGACAGCTTGCTAGGCAACTCTTATCTCCTGCCATTTCTGGTTTCATCTACCTTAAACCTGAATTACCCAGCTTATGGGGTTTACCAAATTTGTAACCAGGCTCAGACTAACTTTCTCATTCTATGGAATATCTAAATTGTATTCTTCTTTATGTTAAGCCTTGAAATCGTATCTATATATCTCAGGATCATACCCAAGTATTCCTCCTCTTATGTAAATACAAATCGAAGTTTTAGCTACTCTGGTTATAATCTATATATATATCTATTATAAAGAATTATTTATCTCTTAGTGGAATTCTTCTTCCTTTTCTTTCTGTTAAATCTTGAAATTGTATCTATATATCTCAAGATCAAGTATTATTCCTCTTATGTAAATACTTATCGTAGTTTTAGCTACTCTGATTATAATCTATAGAACTATTTACGTTGTCTTCTTTTTTCTGTTAAATCGTGAACTCGTTTTTCTATATATCTCAAGATCCAGTATTATTCCTCTTATATAAATACTTTACCTACTCTGGTTATAATCTATGTATATCTATTATAAAGAATTATTTATCTTTTAGTGAAATGTATCTTAGCCATTCGAGGGACAGGTCATCTTGTCTGTCTAGACTAACCCTCTCTCTCTCTAGCAACATTTTCGATCTCTAACTCATCTAATATCAGAGTTATATAAAATGAATATCTAACTTCAAGAGGTTTTTTATAAACAAGACAGTATATGTTATGCTAGGGTATCTGTGCTTCGTTCTTCGCTTCAAATTAAATGCTGCAATCAATTGTATTTCAATTAAATTGTGCTATCAAAATTTCAATTGAGGCTGCAGCTCGACCCTATCAGCGGAGTCCATTGACTCCCGGCCAAACGATGCTCAGAACTCGTAAAGCTGATGGATCAATCAGATAAATGGGCGATAATCCATTCAGCTTGCAACATTCTAGGTGAAAATAATGCTACTTACGCCGGCTCGTGTCAGTTTTTCCTTAAGTTTTCCCATGGCGCTGCTCAGCGGCTGATGGTGGTGTCCACCGCCTCCTCCTCCTCCTCCGCCGCCGCCGCCGCCACCGGCGCCTCGATTGTCGCGTCCACTCATCTTATCAATAGCGTCTTGTGTTGAACTTGAACTCTTGGTTTCACCTAGGGCAGCTTACTTTGTTTTCTTTTTTTTTTTCTAACGATTATCAAACAGAGACTTGTGTGTGTAAATTATTGACAAGGTCTCTTTGTCGCTTGGATTTGTGCTTGGATTTTGTCTTTGCTGCAAATAGAATTACGTAAAACGTTAATAAAACTTGCACATAATACACTAATTTGTATAGAAACTATGCAGGTATTTGTAACTAAACTAGCCAATTGATAAAGGTCTGTGCCCAGTGTCTGCTGCTTATCAAGTACCTAGTTGCATTTAAATAGTATATATATTATTTATAGACTCTGTCGAAAGTCGAATACTAAACTAATCAGTTAATTTATGTCCGTTGCCAGACAAGCTTTGGGTATTTTTTCTTTTTATAGTACGAGCCCCCTAAATAATTATGGCCTTATATAGATACACACCCATTTTGCCAAAGGTTGTACTTTTAAATAAATATTTGCCAAACATATATATAAATATAATACACACACACACAGTTTCACAAGCACGCGTGACTAATTATTGGGCTGCTACTGTGTACAGTTAGCTACAAAAATAGATGCCATAACTCATGTATCAGTTTTGCCTCGACTGTGCGCAAATTAGTTTCTCATATTTTTTGACATTTTAAAAATTTGTTTCAATACTTAATGCTTTTATTAGCTAAACCTAAACTGTCGCAAGATTGTTTTGTGACACGTTTTATTTTTTTTTTCTATTTCTTTAGCACTTGTGTCAATATTTCGGCTGCGCACTGTTGGCGCCTTTTTCACTTTCACCAAATAGTTTGAGAAAATGTTGTTTATGTTTTAAATTTATTTTTTTGCAGTTGGCAAAATTTTTGTTTTCAAAATTTTCCACATTCTGCTTTGTCTGTGTGCCACATACATATATACTTGTATATATATATGTATATAAAGACATATATTTATTTATTAGCTGAAATAATTAACGATTTTTTCGTGGCACAAAATTTGGTAGATATAAATACATATGTATATCAAGATGAGTTTGTTTGCTTTGAACGCTCGTTCCTTGCCTTTTGCTCCTGCGTCATGTGATGCGATTGCTAACGGGACGCGTGGGCGCCATGACGTCGACACCGGTGCCTATGCGACCGGCGACGCCAGCGTCGACGCCTTTGAGGCTGCTGGCATTTACTTATTGGACGCTCTCTCTTCTGTTGGCTGGGTGGTGTTTAGGTCGGCAATGATATAACATAACAAAGAACTTATTCGGCTATTGCCCTACATCTGTATGTGTATAGCTGTAAAAATCTATTGCCGAATTCAGCTTACATTAGATTCGCGCTAAATGCGCCTAAAATTGTGCTGTTGGCCTTGAACGTTCATAAATGCATTTAGGCGCGTGTTTGCATGTGTGAGTGTGTAAGTGAGTGATTCACGGTAGAAACATAGATAAGTTGTTGTTGGGGTTGCCTATCGCTAAATGGCCAAATGAATGATTTACCACTATGTCAGTAAGCAGCAACTACAATTATACGCCGCGCACGCACACACACACGCAAACTTGAAAGTTGAGCGGCGCGCCGTGCTTAACAACATGCTCTTAAGCGCAGCTCAAATTGCGCTCTCTCTCTTTAATAGCAACGCTCTCTTACAATGCGCTCACGTGCTGTAAACGTCACACGCTCTCCTACACACGCATACAAATGAGCCTACACACAGGTGCAAATTGTTGCTGTGACTCTGCTCATTTGTCAAGAGTGCAACGTTGCGAATTCCGACTTGCGATTTTTGGGCATTTATTTTTAAACCAATTTTTTTTAAATGTTGTGTTTTGTTAATTAACAAAGTCGTGCCGCGAGTTGCGGTTTCTTATGCGAGACAATTGATGTTACATATGTACGTAAATTTTAATTTTGTTCAATTGGTATCGCCCACGTTAGTCTGGCCAGACAGCTCAGAACTTTTCACTTTTGCGCGTTCATAATATTTGAAAATTCGCAAATATTGCTGACTCGCCGAAACATGCAGATACACTACAATACATATGTACATATCTAAACTATCTATCTGTCTACAAACTGTTGTGCGCCCATGTCTGTGTACTGCGATAAAAGCAAATTCTAAATTTAAACATTTTTTCACGGTCGCGCGTTCTCAAATATTTTTCGACCGTTTGCAATTTATCTCTTTTTTCTTGTTTTTTTTTCTTCGTCTGTTTTAGCCTTGATGGGGCTTGCGCTCGCTGTTGTTTTACAACACTTGCCATTCTGCCAAACACACAAATTACGTAAAACTATTGCGTTAAATAACTTGGGGACAACTGTCCAGTCGGAGTGCTCATTAATTTTTTGCGAATTGACGTAGTGCGAAAAAATGCGCACAAATTTACATGTCGATTGGCGCATTAATTTCTTGCACTAGACAACCACAACCCAGAGATTTTTTTTTAAATGTAGTTTTTAAAGTTTTGTTTTGTTTGCATAAATTTGAAAAGACGACGCGACACAGAAATTACCGATAAGGCTACGACCGGAACTTGTAGCGCGAAAAAGAGCCATAAAAATACATATAACAATAATTCACAGTAACGAGTTCGATAGTTTTGTAATTTTAATGTCTTTATTTAGATAAATATGTTTTTCAGAAAAAAAATAAAATATTTTAAATATTTTATATTGTTAACGAACGTGTAGTTTTGCATAGTTTCGCTATTTCTTGTTCGCTTGGCGCTGATTATTTTACCTTTTAACAAACTACTAAATGTGATATCCACTATTGTGGCACTGAAGCACGAGATTCGAATGCGCAACATTTATATAGCGGCCACCAATTCCAATTCAGAGAAACTCGTTCGAGCGTATTGTTCGCCGCCGCTGAACGGTAAACAGGCTAGTGAGAGTGAGAGAGCGCCACGGGCTCTCCCGCTTGTCTGAGAGTGTATGTGTGAGTAAGGAGACTTTGACGAATTTTAAAGAGTGAAGTGTGCGAAGGTCGAAAAGAAGGCATGAATGAATTGAGGCGCCAACACATGTCTCTATGTGTGAGTGTGTGCGTGCGCTCGCGTGTGCGAATGATGACGCCAACATTAGATGACATGTGGGAGAGCAAAGTCAAAGGTGTTGGAGTTGTTGTTGCTCGATGCTCGACGCGCCGGCGCGACTTAGACGCCGCTAGTGCCACGCTTCAGATGCTGCGCTGCTTTATGACGCACTATGGCCACATTTCTTGGTGGACGTGCCGCGACTCAGTGGCACCAGCGGCAGCTGAAACAGCAGCGGGCCAGATATATTTTTTATTGATTTGTTTTGGCTGCTGCTGCTGCTGCTGCTGCTCTGCTCTGCTGCGGAGTCGTGTTAATAGCCAATTGCTTTGCTCGCATGCGTTTTTGTTTGCGCCAATTGATTTTTATTTACACATATTTTCAATTGAATATTATTAAATTGACTTTGAGGGCGCGTGCAAATTTTGCAGCCTTGGAGAGCATTTTGCGTGTCAGATCTTCAGTCCAACCTTCTCAAACCTTCCCGATCCCGGTTCCAAACCCGACCCAACCCAACACAGTCCAGTCCAGTCCAGCCCAGCTCAATCAATTGTTTTTATTATAGCTAAATTATTATTGTGGCATCGTTTGCTATTAGTTTGTTTTCCGCTTATGCGGCTGCAAATCGCGCCCCCATTTGCCGGGGGCTCGCCTTTCTATGTATTTCATAACGTGGCATAAACATTGCCTCTCAATGAGTGCGCACAATTCCCAACTGTTATATCAGTAAACACTCACACACACATACATGCGTAAGATACGCATACGGGTGCGTGAGTCTCTATGTGCATACTTGTTCAGGTACATATGTACGTACATATGTCTGCACATAGACTTACGGAAAGTTTTGAATCACGATTTCTGAATCACTCACCATACCCTTTACCCAAACTATTACTAAGAGCATATCAGTTTTCCATTGCTTTCTAGAGAACAATCGATCGTTCTCTGAGGTTTTGCTTGACATTGGGAAATTACCTTTTGTTACCAATACATGTATGTCTATGTACATATATTATATCCAGCTTATTTAATCTATCTAGTTTTTGTACTTTTGCAATATTGGGTATACAGGGTATTTAATCGTTGTCCATCACTGTCCTGACTTTTTGGTTTTTGCAATTTATCTTAGCCAACGACCGTCAGTTGTCCTCGACTTTAGCTCAAACTAAAATCGTGTTTGGCCAAAATGTATTGCATATATCTAGTTTTCACTTGAGCTCACAACTTGTTTGTTAGCCCAAAGAGCTGTCCCATTTCATAAGGGACAATCGAGGTTGCAGCTTTTAAAATATGCTACTTAGATATGTACAAGATATGGCAAAAAGTGAATATACCCTTAAAATGAGAACATAAAGTGCAAATTACTTTTTGAGCTGTTTCATCATGAAATACCAAACAAAATACCTTTTGACAATTCTTGAGTTTAAAGATAAGGTAGAAAATAGACATATGTATGTACAATGTATAATTGCTAATGTACTTGTACAAATTATAAATATGTTATTTTAAAAGATTACAAAAAAAAGCATTTCATTCGGTTTCTTTTTTGGTCTTTTAAACATAGGTTAAATCAGCGACCATACAGTAGCAGACACCTTGATCTCACATAAAAAGCTCGTCAGCCCAAAGAATAGATCCCTCTTAGTGATAATAAATTGTAAACTAATATTTCTTGTTTTCACTTTCTGCGATCTTATTGATAAATAGATTTCAATAGAGGTATTATCTTAAGTATCGCCTACTGTTATTAGACATACCATACATTACAATTGTCACTCTGTCAAGTACCGTAACTTAAAATCACGGCCAGTCACTCAGCAATCGGCATTCGCTTTACCTATTTTTAGAGCGAACTAAGCAAATACGAACAGGTTCGCGCAAAAAAAAAAACACAGACGAGCCCCTAAGAATTGGCGGCCGCTTCTGCACGTAAATAACATACAGTAACAACAACAACAACGGGCATATTGCTGAGAGAGTGAAGAGCGGTGCATCACTTGGTAACTGTGCGATGTAGACTCGGCAACGAAGACGCTCGCGTTCAGTTGCGGCGTTGCAGTCAGCGCAGCGGCTCGACGCCAGCTTCGAC